AAGCGGGAATTCCTTGAAAGTGGGACTCTGTATACACTTGTGAGTGTTAAATTCTGTCATTTTTGTAGTTTGGTTTTTTATTTTATTTTATTTGGCGCTACGTTGATTCACGCCGGACAGACAGACATACTCTATTACTGGTGGTATGTACCGTTTGTATATTTTCAGTTTGTTTTTGGGCGATGTGCCTGTATTCTTGACAGACAGACTTCTGATCTGGTAAACTCGTCATCAGATGTTTCTTTGCACTTTCATTAATGTGTTTTTGCCATGTAAATTTCGAGTCATTGGTGAAACCTAGAAATTTTGCTGATGTAGCAGTCTGGAGGAAGGTTCCATTGAGACAGATTTCTGAGATGTTTTTGGGAAGTTTATATAATTTTGCCAGAACGAGTGTTTGTGTTTGTTGGTTTATTAGTGTTTATTCCCTTCTTTTGGCAGTATTCCGCTATTTCGTTCAGAGCAGATTGTAAGATTATTCTATTATCTAGAAAGTTTGATAACCAGCGATGTGGTTCTGTTTGTAACATCCTGGACCTCAGACCAGAGTGCCAGATTATATCGCAAGCCTTCTCTAGATCCAGCAGGCAGATGACTGTATACTCTTTTTTATTAAACCTATCTATTACAGTTTCAGTTAACCTAACTAAATGAGTACGTTGATGAGCTGATTGACTAGAGGGAAGGCAGCTACTCAACAGCACGTATCGCCAACTCATGGGCTACTCTTATCAAACCGAGATTTTTTTAATTCACCTATAGCCCATAGATTGAATATTTTTTTATATTCTTCATTTTCGATGGTAAAGGGACGCGAACCACAGATCCACAGTTCAGGGCACTAACCGGTATAGTTAGTTTGTAGTCTGCCACCAATAATACCTTTACCATAAGTATAGTTAGTTAGTTTGTAGTCTGCCACAATAATACCTTTACCATAAGTATAGTTAGTTAGTTTGTAGTCTGCCACCAATAATACCTTTACCATAACTATAGTTAGTTAGTTTGTAGTCTGCCACCAATAATACCTTTAGTATAGTTAGTTAGTTTGTAGTCTGTCACCAATAATACCTTTACCATAAGTATAGTTAGTTAGTTTGTAGTCTGCCACCAATAATACCTTTACCATAACTATAGTTAGTTTGTTTGTAGTCTGCCACTAATAATACCTTTACCATAACTATAGTTAGTTAGTTTGTAGTCTGCCACCAATAATACCTTTACCATAACTATAGTTAGTTTGTTTGTAGTCTGCCACCAATAATACCTTTACCATAAGTATAGTTAGTTAGTTTGTAGTCTGCCACCAATAATACCTTTACCATAAGTATAGTTAGTTTGTTTGTTTATCAATAAGCACAAAGCTACACAATGGGCTATATTTTCTGTGCCCACGGCGAGTGCCGAAACCCAATTTTTACAGTTATAAGCCCTCAGACTTACTGCTGATAGGGGGGGGAGTGCAATCATAACTTACTGTTACCTTGTTTAAATATAAGTTAAAACCAGTCAGTATTGATCGCGACTATATTTTAAGAATCAAAATTGATAAACAAATTATATTCTAAAGAAACAAAAAATATATATAACAACGATAGACAAATGTAAGCAGGAACCTCTTAAACATGCATCAGTTTCATTTCCGTCTCACCACCAACACGTAGACATGCTTACCCAGAAAGTGTCCCTCTAAAACGTCTAATTATTTATTGTTACTAATTACTTAAAACGAGGTTTACTCACGTGAGAAAACGCAATCCTTGTATGACTGAGTATTATTATTATACAGTGCCATTCGACACTCTTGTTACAGTCAAACTTTGGTTGCACTTTATAAAAGGAATGGCAGGACTTTTTTACTGTTACTTGGATCATCGCTAATCTTGGTCAAAACAGAAACTGTTCATAGCACTAAAACTTCGCTTTTCTGTGTGCAGATTTTTTTAATTGTTTGCTTGTTCAGAATTTTAGCGCTAAAGCCACACGAGGACTATATAACATATACTGTCGTCCCTAATTTTGAAGTGGTATAAAGATGTTTGTTTGTCCTTGAACAGAGTATACAGTACT